CAAAAGCTTTGACATTTACAACCTGACACAGATAATTGGCTTACAGAAACTGGGCTGTTGCAACAAACTTAATTACTACCTGCACACTGAGCATCTTTATGCATGTCTGAATGCTATAAATCCAAGTGTGCAGATACATTGTGTTCTCTCGCGTCTCTGGAACACAGAGTTTACAAGCATTTCTTTCTCCCGTCAGACAGGTCACATCCTGAATTAAACAGTGATACCATTTTATGGGAGAAGTTTCTGTTCATATTAGTTTTTGAGTAATGTGCAATCACTTTAATTATGCAAGACGGATATAACTCAAGCATTCCTACTTTCAAATAAGTTGTTCTGGCTACAACAAGATTGTATTGGCAGAAACAAATTATTATTATTATTATAAATTAAGATGATGTTTCAACATCTCACTATGTGGTCACATCATGAAGGAAAGAGACAGTGAGACAGACGGAGTGAGAGAATCAGAGCGTGACAGACAGCGGGAGGTTGAATCTTGCTGTGACAGTCTTTTCACTCCTTGTGAATGACGTTTTTCTTCCCACTCAGCATTCTCTGACACTTCAAAGCGTCAATCTCAGCAGAGTGGTTTGGCCTTACTATTGTGTGAATCTTGAATATTCATCAGGGTCTTTCTTTTCCCCGAGGGCTGAGACTGTGCTGTGGGTGTGTGAGATCTCACAATATATATTGTCATTATATATATATAACAGTGGATGAAATAGATTGTTTTAAATTCTTATGTGAATAAGGGTGTCTGTATTTAGATGGATACATACTCTTAATAAATAATTGAGTTACATGACTAAATGTTAATTAGGCATAATGCCTTCATAATGTTTATAGGAGTATTCCTATGAATGAAATACAAATAAGAGAATGATCAGATTGCTGCTGGGGGATACCTGTGTCCCATGGCTAAAGCATCAAATAAATGATTAATGGGATATTACAAATAATTTATGGTCTGTAGGGAGTTGGCCTGGGAACCGAAGGGTCGTTGGTTCACGTCCCGATCAGACCAAAAGAATAATAATACGGAGTGTGGGCTGGTAGCTGGAGAGATTTGACTCCTGGGCACTGCCGGGTAGCCCTTGAGCAAGGCACCAAACTCCAAACTGCTGGGTTAGGGTTTGCTCTGCCACCTGCATGTGTTTCTCTTTGTGCAGGTTTATCCATTAAGCCTTTGTGTCTGTAAGGTGTGTAAAAACACAACAGAGGAGACAAAGTAATTTACTTACATATTTGATTAATAAGTAAGTCTTCTTCTTCATCTTATTATTGTACTGTAAATAACTCAATATATTTGAGCTTTAACGCAGTTTGAAGGATAAAAACAAACAATCTGAAGATGTTGCATCAGACAAGTTAAGATTAATTTATTGGTCCTACAATGTTGAAACATACAGTGTTACAGCAGCAAAGGGACAGTGCAACAATAAAAGGAACTACAAACATATAACAAAAAGAATACACCTTATTAGACCGACTGACATTTGAAATGAAATGATTGCTTATGACAGTAATCCAAGAGCAGTTTGCCACACTAGTTCTCCATGGCACTACAGTGTGACATTGTTTTCAAGAACTCAGTAATGAGGGGAAGAACATCTTTGTCTAGCTGGATGATGAAGATGGTGTCACACGTTCTGAACTCTTGCAATCCCATTGGACCATCTGGGGCAGACAGCTGTGTTGCCACGGTAATAAACTGCTTTTCAGGATTCTATGACAGCAGTTTTAACTCTGAGCTGCTGAAAATCCCGCTAATTTCACAGAGCTGGGGGTCAGTTTGGTCCTGGCTGAAGCATCGCTCATGATACGCATTCCATCTCCGCTCAAAGTAATTTCATCATCTGTGTTCCGCCATGGCTTTTTGTTTCTCAGGTTAGCGGTGATTTTTCACAGTCATCCATCGGGTTCCTCCTGCTGTATGATGAAAGGTGCGTTTGCTCCTGTAAAGTCCTCTTCTGAAATTAAAAACGTGGCTCATTTTCATGGTGCATTAAAACTCTACTGCTAGTATTATCGTAAGGTCTCAATTTCATAAGAAAATGTTTTCCTTATGAAATGGAGACAGATTATTACAAACAAGCACGCTGCATTAATTGATCTGTGACTGCTGGAGGGCTGAGTGTGGGGGATACAGAGTCTGCAAAACAAATTGAAAATAATCTCACAGCTAAACTTCACCCTATATCTCCCTCATAGTCTGTCTAACATCTTGATTTAATGCCCACTGTTCTAAAAGATTATGCCCGGAGTGTAACACCATAAAAAAAACACAGTGCCGGCAGAAATGTTATCTTTACATGTGCCACCATGACAAGTGAATAGGTGCTTTCAATACTGAAGTACAATGTGTGTCACAACTTCTCATAGTGTTTATGTGAAGATTAAATATTTAGATAGAGAAGAAGCAATTAAGAAAACTGGACACCATGTATGTTTTGGTTCATTTAGCACGCTCGTCCTTCTGTTTGCTGAGCAAGCTAGGTGACATCCTGATGACAAGTGGTTGGCTTTGCTGAAACAAGTTGGCTAGCATATATGTGGCAGACTTACAGGCCATCCTTCACATCGCAAAGAATCATTTTTTATGCACAGCTGCAAGAGAACAATAAGGAAGAGTGGTACAAATCAAAGCTGAAGAGGCTGAGATAACCTGACTTTCAGTCCGATTATAGATCTAGTTTGGAAAAGTTGCTGGATAACCCATTTCACACAACTCAATAGCATATTGTGTTAGCCTTCCCCTGCCTGGTAACTGCCATTAACCTTTACATTGCATGACCCTGCTATTAGTAGCCTTTAAACCCAGCTCATCAGGCCATAAAATAAACCTGAAGGCAACTTGTAGAACGCAAACCGTTGCCAAGGCCATTTCCATAAGTAAAACATAATGTGTGTATCCGCCCTGGGATTCAGATACATAACAAAATGTATTGGTTTCCTCCATGGCCCATGCTACAACTTTCCACTGAATCTCATGAAACTCGGGCCAGTAATATTTTTGTAATCCGGCTGAGAAATAAACAAAAAGAGCCGAAAACATAACCTCCTTAGCTGAGGTAATAAAATCTCCATTTTCACACCTTAAGTGGTCCTTCCCACACCTTCAAGAGTAAACTGAACCATAGTGTGTGGATTTGGTTCAGTTTCTCTTTAACACCGCTTGCATGTCTAATGTGACTATTTCTCATTCCAGTTGCAACAAACATTGTGGTTTTATATAATGATCAAGGTGCTGACAGACATATTTCTCGGGCAGTATTAATCATCCTGTAACTATGTGTGTGATGACAGATGGGTTCTGCAGTAAAAATCTATATGAGAGAGGGAGGGGAAGAAAAAGCATGGGAAGTGAAGAGTTAGCTTGTTTGAAAGCAAGTCCTCCAACCAGTCCGCTCCACTTTCAACCTCCTTTATGTGCCAGAGTGACCCCCACCTACAGTGCCGCTCACTCCCCTGGAACCCCCATCCCTGTGGGCTGAGTATAGGCTGTCTGAGAATACAGGGAGGCTCCATGCTGGGCGTTTGATGGAGCGCAGAAGGGTGTGTGAGGTGCACTGACCCATTCACATTGCTCCCCATGCACTCGTGCTCCAGAAAAGGCTGACTTATCACATGTAATACACAGTGCTGCACAAACCAGGAGTGACAGCTATAGGGCCAGTGGAGCTCTAGAGGGGAGAAGTGGCTTCTGGGAGCTGGTGGTCCCTCCCAGTCAAACTTTAAGAGGGGACAGGTGTGGGGTAGCCCATGTGGCTGTTGTTGTTTCTCCCTCCTCCATCACTGCTTAACACCATCAGGTTTTTTTTTCTTCTGTCATTGGCCATTTGGAATGGATAAACACTTCAAGATGTTCAGTTTTTCTCACTCAAACACATCTTACATGTGTGAATTAGGCCATCTCTGAGATGTTTATGATTTATGTAGGTGCCATAGTAGACTTGATATAATCTTCCTAATAGCTCAACTAATCCTCTTAACTTGTAACCCACATAAATCTTTCACCACTTGAATGTGTGTCCCTTTTGTTATGATTTTTTCGCCATGGTATTGCATGTTTGCGTGTGTGTTGGATTAGTGTGAAGTTGCAAAGTGGCGGTGCCTGGAGGTGTGACCCCTAATCACCCCAAATCACCTGACGTGTGATGGCTTGATCCCTTTTGCAGCTCAACAAGTGTTTGTGTTTTCAGCCCCGTCACACAGACTCACATGAGGAACTGAACACACTTCAACCTGTGTCTGAACTTTAATACCAGACTCTTGGTTACAGATTAATGCCGGGCCAATGCCATTCACACAGCACCTGTGTCTGCAGCTGTACTTCCACACACATTATGCAAAGAACAAGCGGTCGAGAGCTTGGTTGCTTTTCATTGTGGGGTGAATTTCAAGGACTTCTATTTTAAATTGGTTTGTTATAATTAGTTTGATCTTTTATTCTTCTTGGACTTTCTGTAGTCGTTAAGGAGGGTGGTTGTTACTTGCAGCCTTACTTTTTGTTTTGTTTCTTGTCTCATTAATAAAGTTGTTGATTGATTGATTGATTGATCATAGCCCTTGCAGGATTTGATACCAGATGTTTTCACCAAAGAACATGTAGATGTCTCGGTTGTAAGCCTATACTCATACATTTTACAGTGGTTTCTGTGTCTCTCTTTGCATGCTACGTGTAGTGTGCCTTTGGCAAAAGGTCATAATGCGTTCACACCTCATTCAGCCCCTGCTCACATCCACGGCCCTGTTACCCCCTTCATTTTGACTCTACTTTCTGAGTTTGAGTGATGTGAGAATCTGTAATGTGTAATGTCTGCGTGTGAAAGCGAGAGAGGCTGTATGTAGATTTAAATATACTCAGCTGTTCCCTCTGTAGTGAACCGGTCATAGAAAGGGCTGGACAAATAGCACAGTGAGAGAGCAACGAAGTAACACCCTCCTTCCCCCCTCTTTTCTCCCCCCTCTTCTTTCTCTGTGTCTGTCTCTCCCAGGCTGTCAGTGTGGAGTATTGCTGGAGGCTGCGGGGCTGCTGTGTGCTGTGGGAAGTTCTTGAGAGTGCAGAGTGGCAGTCAGTCACAGAGAAACTCTTGAACAGAAAGTGGACTGGCGCTCTTTCACGGAAAGGATATAAAAACGCAGCCTCACACATCCGCCTCTTTGCCCGGGTGTGTTCGTTGTGGCTGCGCCTCAGGGATTTGAAGGAGGAGGGCGTCTGGGGTCAGTGCTGGAGTGATGGTGGTGGTGTGGCCGCCTCAGGAGTGGGCCTGCCAGGCACTTCTCCTGCTGACTGGACTGGCATCACTGAGCTGTGGGTCTGATGGTGAGTACTGTCTTAAACCTCATTCAATGAATTGTAAGGTGTCCTTGGGTGCTTTGAAAGACAACTCTAAATAGAATGAATTATTATTATTATTACTGCGCTGGACACTTTATGTTTTTTGATGCCATCATTTATTTAGCTGACTTTGTTTTAAATCACTTTTAAGCTGATGAGGCGTCTTGTGATTGCTTTACGTTTATTGACAACACTTTTATGTAAAGCTGCAAGAGGGAAGTTGAAAGACAATTTTTAACCTTTTATTTTTAGGCATCTATGTTTGTGTTTAGCGGTTTGAGAGGGTCAAATTTACTTAATTTCCTAAAGTCTCACACATTTTATTGTGAGTGTTGTCAGGTTGTAGGCTGATGGTGCGAGCTGTGAGGTTATCTTTCTATTTTTTACCCTGCGGTATTTATGATGGGCAAAAGCTATAATGATCTCCACAGGGGTCTACCATGAGAACTGGTGTGCATTTATCTGCCCTGTCCTCTCTCCCCCCCCCCCCCACCACCACCATCTCCACCACCCCCCCTGGTCATGTTTTGAATTGTTTGAAGATGGACAGCCAGTTGTCTTTTTACGATGAATGCCAACAGTGTCACGATGCCCCGTAAGGTTGTGACAGGCGGGGAAGGTCGACAAGCTCCCAGCGTCAAGAAAATGACACTTGTGCATTTGTTCTGTTTCTGATCAAGCAGAGGGGAGAGACATTGTTGCTCCGTATGAGAATTAGCATGCATTTCCTGTTTTTATTGTTCACATATTTGAAACGCTACTTTACAGTTTTTTAAGTTGATCAACCATCCATATTAACTCTTCCATTTAGGTTTCCCCGTTAGATGTTTTATTAGAGCTAAAACAAATTATCAATCAGGCCAAAAGTGTTATTTATTTTTCTAATGTTAAGGCTTGGTGATCTGGCCGAAATCGGCTATCACAGTATCAGTCATTTAGTCTCCTGATAACGATATACAATAGTCAGGATATTGCATGATATGTTTATTAAATTAAATAAAAAATATTATTGGTTTGGCAATACAAATACTCATATTACCTAGCTCTATTTTATATGCAAGTTAACTGAATATATTTAGGTATTGTGCTGTCATATTTATAAAACAGGCCATTTAACGACGTCAGTGCAATTTAGAAATTGTAAACAATTAATTTCTTCAAACTAAAAAAATAACAATTTGAATCAAGTTACAAAAATAATATTAGTTGCAGCCTTACTTTGAATGTTTGGGGTAAACAAGCTTAACAATATAACTACTTAGTTGTTAAACACTTAAGAAGGAGAATAAATTGAGTGTCAGGATTTTTAGTCAGCATAAAGATAAACAATTCAAGAAACAATAAAAATATATGGTAAATATATGCATATAATCAACTTCTTATTGGAATACAAAGGGATTCTGGTTTATCTGCGATAAAGCAATGCTTCACTTAAGCAACCACATAAAGACCAGCTGTAAAATCCCAGACTGACTGAGCGGTTCAGAGCTAGCTGTAACTTTCGCAGTTGGTCACAAAATACCTCAACTGCTGATGAATGTTTCTTCTGAGAATTTCCATCATTCTTCCTGTATCTGTGCAGACTGAGCTAAGAGTTTAACTCCTCTTCTAATATTAGTCTAGGGTGTTTGACGTTCAGTAGCCAAACAGATAGAAAGGATGTGGAAAGATGGAGTGAAATTCAGACAGAAACGAATGTGAAGTACCATTGATTATTTCATATGGGCCTTTATCCTGTCTCGTACTTCCTCCGTTTTTCTCCTTCTATCCACTTTTTTTACCAATACTTGAGCCACCAGTTGCTTTTTCTCCGTTTCCTCAGTGACCTGATCTTTTAAGGGTCTCCCAAATGAGTATAACATGTGGGAGGTTGCCCATAAATCTAAGCAGCACGGTCAGTTTGCCACCTGTTTCCACAGGCTGGTGAGGTTCACTGAGAGTAGATGATCCCTAGCTCCATTCTTCCGGTCGCAATGCAGTGGAAATAGAAATACTTCTGTGAAGCTAAAGGGCGACAATACCTTTTTTATGATGGTTACATTCTTAACATTTATATTGGTTTTGACTCATTTCCTCCATCAACATTTTGGTTTCGCTTTCCCATGTTTGTAACACAAAACCACTGACTGACCATGAAAACTAGATGTTTCGGGGCTATTGCTGCTAATAAGACAATTCCCAGAAACACTCACCCAAGGCGGTCCCTTCACTGTTTTCACTGATATCTACTTCAGACACACAAACCCCCTATATTCAGAGGCTGTTAATGAATATTGCTGTTTTTAATCTCATCCAATGACCGAAAAAGTTCCCTCTACACCACTGGCCACTGGCCACTGGCCTTCTGGACAATGTAGGGTTTTCATTCTCAGCGGTCATCGAATTTCTGGAAATGTCAGTGTGTCTCTGTAGGAGTGTTTCTCTGTAGGAGCATTTAGAGGAGGTATTATTTTATCTTTATCAGCAACCTTTTTTTTTTACTGCAGCTCTGCTTCAGTTACTCAAGTGCAAAGGAGGTTTGTTATAAATGGACTAATTCAAGTTACAAAACGTTCTAGTTCTAATTTTGGAGCGGGTAAAACAGGATCATCGTGATGTTCTGTAAGGGCCGTTCAAATTGAAAGTATGTGATTTCAATGAGGGCTTGTTATTCTATTGAATCCTCACAGACTCTGTTTACATGCATCACTGTGGATTCCAAGTGCAGGAAATCTATTTAACTACCTATATAAAATGTTTCTTCAAAAATGTAAAAAAGAAAGCTGCAAGTACGATTCACTATACATACATCTTTGCAAGACATCTGTGTTGAATGTTGTGGAATAAGGTCAGAGTGTAGTTTGATGCAGTGGTCCAGAAGTACAAAACAGCAGCAGTTGGTCCTCGACAGGACCAGGCCTCTCCAGCCTTCTGTGCGCTGCTTCCTGTCAGGATGTGGATACGGTTCCCCCACACAGAATTTGATCCCCAGGCAGATGTGCTGCTCCAGCAGTCAGGCGTGTGTGTGTGTGTGTGTGTGTGTGTGTGTGTGTGTGTGTGTGTGTGTGTGTGTGTGTGTGTGTGTGTGTGTGTGTGTGTGTGTGTGTGTGTGTGTGTGTGTGTGTGTGTGTGTGTGTGTGTGTGTGTGTGTGTGTGTGTGTGTGTGTGTGTGTGTGTGTGTGTGTGTGTGTGTGTGTGTGTGTGTGTGTGTGTGTGTGTGTGTGTGTGTGTGTGTGTGTGTGTGTGTGTGTGTGTGTGTGTGTGTGTGTGTGTGTGTGTGTGTGTGTGTGTGTGTGTGTGTGTGTTTTGTTCATGTGCACCATATGAGTATATCTGCCTTGTGAGATTTGGAGGCTTAAGACTCATGTTTGTGCGTTAAAGGATAACTACATTGAATATTTAAGAATTGCAACTTCTGAATCCTGAATTTCACAAATGCATGAACACAGAATAATACTGTAATTTTAGTTATAAGAAAAACTGTGTTTAAGTGTCATGATTATATCAACCGAAAACATACCTGGCTTTGTGTTACAACGCCCTTGAACAACTCTGTGGAAAAAACACTGGCAGAGGAAATATTGTGGGGTAAAATGACATATTGTGGCTGAAGTCTCTCAGTATGTCTGTAATGGAGCCCAACATTAGTCAGTGGCTTGTGGCTTCTTCCAGTAAGTTCCGACCACATGGATAAATAGACGAGCAATGAGATGAACTGATGACCTTTGTGGATAGACAATGTTAAAAAACATATCTCTAACTTCACAGGAGCAGGAAGATTGAGATAGTGTGTTGGGATGAGGGCAGGCCCGGTTCTACGGGGGTGCATAAGGGTGCATTGCACCCTCAGTTGAGTTGTTATGCACCCTCATTTGAAAAATGAAAAGTGAAAAATAAATAAATAAATGAAAAGTGAAAAATATTACATATATAATAATAATAATAATAGTAGTAGTAATAATAATAATAATAATTTTGTTGAAATAAAATAAATTGTAATTGTGGTTAAATAACATTGTCTGCTGCATATATTTGGTCAATTTAAACGGTAAGTAACGTTATTATGTGAGGTGCGCGTGACCTGTGCCGCTGCGCGTTCGTCATCTGCAAGGTGCTTACACAGCAGTCAATGATGGACATCAGAAAATGGTTAAAACAACCAGCCCTTATCGCCAGCAGTAACACTGCATCTACTGCAGGTAATAACAGTTCAGATCATGGGGACATTACGTTACGTTTGTTCTGACTGTCGTGGACACTAACGTCCTCCTGCCCGACTCGCCGGCTTTGCCCGCCTCGCCCACGGAGGCGGAGCAGCCGCAGCCGTCTTCGTTGCCCCAAACACCGTCACCCCTCAGCGGCCCACAAGTGCCAGAGGACCTCGGCAAAACAGAGCCTGCCCAGGTATATTTAAAAAGTACCCAACTCACGTGTACAGTGGGGTAAGGCGCTCATTGTGCAGCTCATGGTTTCAAAACAGAGATTGGCTGGAATATTCATGTAAAAAAGATGCCATCTTCTGCTATGCATGTAGACATTTTGGTTCAAGTAAGTCAGATGCCTTCACCACAACTGGCTACAACAACTGGCGCCATGCTCTTGTACGTGATAAGGGACTGGGAAGGCATGAATCAAGCAAAGAGCACATCCATAGATCTCTTAATGTTGCTCTCAAAGTGCACCAGATTGATGCTTTTAACTTCAATATTTAAAAAAAAATCTTCCCAGGGGAGCATGCCCCCGGACCCCCCTAGAGGAGGTGAGGACCCTCCTAGAGGGTGTTAGGTCCACTCCCCACTTATAAAAATAGCACTTTACCACTGCACCCTCTCTAATCTCAGATGCACCCTGAGTCATTTTGTTCTGGAACCGGGCCTGGATGAGGGCCACACACAGACACCGCACTGTGGTCAATGCTAAGCCTTGGTTTCATAACATGCCAATCTCCACGCTGCGTGTGTTTGAGTGAGCAAGTGTGTTGTATATCATTTGATGCATTCTTGACT